AAGTGTATGACATGCTAACATCCACACGTGATCTCCTGATTTTTATGCATTGACTTTGACACAATGTATCACAACAATTACTTTGTTTAGGTCATTTCCCTAAGGAACATTGTTTTTTCACCACATTCTTCACCTCCATGCCCTAAATAACACATTTAATAAGACGTTTCTGGGCTCCTCCAGCAGAATTGAACTCAGATTTGTCAACTGGACAGGATCAGGTGGAATCAAAGGCATTAATTTCAAACCTTAGTAATCAATCGAGATTCGGACAGCCTAGGGTATTGCAATGCGAGCTGATTCAGCTACCTGGCTGAAGGTCATGCAAAGATTGTCCATTTTCTAATTCACGTAGTAGTTTCAAAGTATTCCCTTCATTTTGTGTACTTCAAGTCTTGGTTGAATCTGCTCAGTGTGATTCAAGCCCGTTTGCTTGATTTCGAGGCTTATCCTGTAATTTTTTGTTGACCATTTGAAGCTTCAACGCGCTGCATGCGGCATCAAACCTTGGACTGTCCAGTAGTGGTTTAGAACTGTGATCCTGGCAATGTGCCGCCCGTAGGTGGCTGGATCACATCCACGAGGATACTCTGTTTGTGATCTTGTGAAAATTGAAGATATCAACTGGAAGCAGTTATCTTGGAAGAAAGTAATGGCACAGCCATCTCAAAGTATCTTTGCGGAGTCATCAAGTCAGTAAATAGAGCGGATGAAATGATGGGTGGATTGATGAAAAGAGAGATGGCTGATTTGACAGTTCGTTGAATGGCAACCATTGATGTGTAGATGGATGACTAACCAGTTGAATGGATTGACGCAGTGCCAAAAATTGAAGAACTCGGTTTCATTAACATAGCTAACTTGGAATGCATTACCTTTCAGACAAAATCTCCTCTGTGACGTTGTCCTCAAAGCCGGTAGTGTGGAGGTACCCGCACACAAGAACGTCCTGGCTGCCAGTTCACCATATTTCCGCGCCATGTTCACCGGAGACATGACGGAGAGTCGGGCTCACACTGTCACCATTGGCAACATCGATGGGACTGCTTTGGGCCTTCTTGTCGATTTCATCTATACTGCTGGTCAGGCACCTTTCCTCACGTTTAAAACGTTTTGTTCGAAAATAATTTCTTTTATAACAACGGGGATGCTTTTGATTCCATTGGCATCGGAATGTTTCGTAGATTTCGGTGGTCACTACGTTAACATATCTTTTTATGGAGTAGGTTCAAATGTAAGGTCCCAGTTCCATTTTATTCTTTCTCACTCACTCGTTGTAATAAAGACAATAATAGCGGTTTTCCCATGTACAGAAGTTCTCATCACAGAGGAGACTGTTCAGTGCCTTCTACCAGCAGCCAATCTCCTCCAGTTGACCAGCGTTCGCGAGGCCTGTTGTGAGTTCCTTCAATGCCAATTGCATCCTACCAACTGTATTGGCATTCAACGCTTCGCTGACATGCACGACTGCTCGGAATTGCTGCAAGTCAGTCGTCGCTTCACTGAACAGCACTGTGGGTAAGCTGTCACCTTAATCCCTCTCCCATTCAAGATTGACTCACTTTTTGAGATTAAAACAAGCAACTCTTTCCTACGTCTTAAAACAGCAACACTTGAAATCATTAGATTAGGAGTCACATATGTGTGCCGCTGGGAGTCGTCTTATCTCAGTCCACATTTAATTAAAAGTTACTGAATTCGATCAGGTCGACTAAACAACGAGGTGAAATGTGATGACGGATGTCCCCGAGACTCCCGTAGCGAAGATGCTGCGAAAACCACAACCTCCTATATGTATCAAGAGTTTACGTCTTCATTCCTCTTTCAGATAGTCGTTATTCAGGCGTTAATAGGCACTCGATACCGTGGAAGTGTATTGTCGGTAACTCTCCCATCGACATCGACAAGGGATTTCGGCTAGAAGAATTAGATATTCGGTTAGTTAATGAAAAAGACGCGAGCTTTATATTTCTGATAAAAAAGTAGTTAGTAGGCGGCCACTGGATTTTCCCATTATGATTTGGGCTTGGAATGCCTTCGAATTTAACTTTTATCGAGTTCGCAGTCAAAATAGGAAAAGGTCGCCGAGATTGATCGGTTCCGTCTTCCCCACTGCTGTTTGGTCACAAATACGTGATTTATCTGTTTCCCCTGTAAATAAATATTGGTTATCCTTATATAGATTGTTTTTTATCTTTTGCAAACGAAACGCTTTTAGTTGCATTTCCAGTACTTACTATCTTTTGGCTTTTTGATGTGTAATTATTTCCCCTCAATTTTAACTACAGGGAAGTGTTGGAGCACGGAGAAGAGTTTTTGAGCCTGAGTAAGGAACAGTTAATCAGTTTAATCTCAAGCGATCACATTCGCGTGTCGGAGGAGCAGGTGTTTGAGGCTGTATTGCGATGGATGCGGCACGATCCCGCAGTGCGTGGTACTCCTGAAGTCGCCGCAGAGGTATGCGGTCACGTGCGCTTCGGTCTGCTGCCACGGGACTACCTCATTCGACTGTCCTTGTCGGAGGAGTTCTTACGCGCCAATCCCTGGTGTAAAGACTTTCTTCTCGAGGCTATGGGCTTCCTCCTTTTGCCATGGGAGCAGAGACGGCGAAATATCACCTCTGAGCGTACCCGACCTCGCAGCATTGGTGTCCCTAAGGTAGACTATGATTTTGAGACTCAAATTTCTACAAATTCTGACAGTTTGCGAAAACACGAGCAAGAGAAGGCATCAGCTAAACATGTCTATGTCTCTTCTTTGGCCCTTTCTGTTTTTTAAGTCGATTCGCTGCCAGAGGTTGTCTCCTGCAGACAAGGAGATGCTGAAACTCATTTGTTAAGGCTGGTTAGCACAAATAATGCATATTTGTTTACTCCTAACATCTGCTAGAGCCTACTCTAGCATCTACTCATCTGTTTACCAGAAGTGTTTGTGCGTTTATCGCCATGGCTAGCTGCGCCAATCTGTTGTAAACTGTAGTGACAAATAAGACGCACGTGATTGTTTGTGTGGGTTATAAGACATAGACATGAGTTAGTCCATTGGAATTGAACCACGTATAGTGCTCTCTATCATTTGCCTCTTATTTTCAACCCTTGCTGCGTATTTCCGTCGCCAGAAAGATACTTTAGTCTTTTAACATAGTTCATTAATTTGAATGTCAGTAGGTCATAGCAGAGTGGGTTAACAACTGGAGCTTGTGATCCTTCGTTAGTTCCCGGGACGGAGATCTGGTAAGGCTAAATGAACTCAAGATCATCACGGCTTGAAGTATAAGCAGATCCTGCACTCACACTCAGCTTTGCTTCACGCACCTCAGTTTTCACATATCCGCTTCAAGGTTTTGTCATCGCTCCTTGTGGTCATAACCACATCCAACCGGACGTTCGGAACGCTCTGCTTCCGTTACACTGTCATGACTACCTTCATTGGTTTCGACTCGCAGTTGGAGGGATTACTTCAGCCTCATGTGAAAGT